GTGTGAGGGGTGTGCCGAAATGGGTGGTGGGGAGGCATGCGAACGCAGCCACTGGGGCCTTCGGTGGAGCTCCCTATGGGGCCACGAAGAGTGTGAGGGGTGTGCCGAAATGGGTGGTGGGGAGGCATGCGAACGCAGCCACTGGGGCCTTCGGTGGAGCTCCCTATGGGGCCACGAAACGTGTGAGGGGTGTGCCGAAGTGGGCGCGGTGGCGCATGGGAGCGCAGCCACTGGGGACTTCGCTGGAGCTCCCTATGGGGCCACGAAACGTGTGAGGGGGATGATGGCGTTGCAGATGATGAATGGTGGTGATGATGATGTCGATATGTCGATTGATGATGTAGTAGTGATTACCGAAACGGGTTGCACACGTTAGTGGCCCATGATGAGACGATGATGATGTGATAATGCGATGATACGGTGATGACGTGATGATGCATGAGGGTGATGAGATGGATGATGGATGAGATGGTGAGATGATGATGAGATGATGATGGTGATGATTGGCGACGTGATGATTGATGGGCAGGAGGGAGGGGGCAGCGGGAGGAGGAGTGAACGCGGGGCGCTGTCTCTTCAAAACGAGGACCCAACACCACAGGATGGTTGGGAAAAACAAGCACTGCCAAGCAAGGCTTTGCACTGCACTGCCCCAGCCTGCTCAGAACTGCTTTGGATTTCTCTGGGAGGAAGGTCCGGCACCGATCTCATTCCGAGGCCCCTCTTTCCACGCATCAGGCGCCGCGCCGCGCTCTGCCGCGCAAGGGCTTGCCGTCGTGCAGGCAGCGCTCACCTTGCCTGCAGTTGCCAGAGCAGCGTGGCGTGCGCGGCTCCGAGGGCCGCGGCGGCGCAACGCCGCGATGCGCCGCGGCAGTGTCGGAAAACTGCCTGTCCTGCTGTGCAGCCGGCGCGTCGGAAGGGAAGAGAGGCGACACCACCAGCAGCAGGGGGGCCACCTCCAGCGAGGACGCCCGCGATGCCTCGAGCGGAGCAGGGGACCACACCACCACGAGGACCCTGAGATCCGATGTTGCCAAAAAAGTGCAACATCCCAAAAATCACGCCCAGAGCTGCAGAACCCACTTTTCTGCGCCATTTTTCGAGGCGGATCGATTTGTGAGGGTCTGGGGCCACAACAAGAAAGGGCGAGATCGCCCGGCTCGAAAAAGTTGAGACGCCAGGATCTCAGGGTCGCGCCGGTGGCGGTGGTGGTGCTTCTCTTCGGTAGCAAATTTTGGGAGCCTGGTATACCCTCTCAATTCCGCCTTTCGCGTCGAACGGCGACGATGAGCGTCTGGAGTCGATGAGATAGCGCCGATTTCCTCTCGGCTCGCGTGGATTAGCGTCGGCTTGGCGTCGACTAGCGTCGGCTCAGCGTCGATCAGCGTCGATCCGCAAGAGCCGACAAGATGGTATTGGAGTCTCCCATGAGCTGCCACCGAAGTGCTGCACCTCCTCGTCTCGGGCGCGGGCGTGCGGTGCCCTACACGCCCCCCAGAATTGGGGCTCTCGTCGCGCCGCCTCGGCCCCTCCCCCCCCCTCGCCCCCCTCGCCCCCCTCCCCCTCGCCCTTCTCGCTCCCCCTCGCCTCCGACCGCGCCTCCTCCTCCTCCTCCTCCTCCTCCTCCTCCTCCTCCTCCTCTTCCTGCTCCGCCTCCTCCTCCTCCTCCTCCTTCTCCTCCTCCTAATGCTCATGCTCCTCCTCCTCTACTTCCTCCTCCTCATCCTCATTCCTTTGCCTGCTCCGCTCCTCCTCCTCCTCCTTCCTCCTCCTCCTTCTCCTCGTCCTTGTTTTATTCCCTCTTCTCCGCCTCCTCCTCCTCCCTCCTCCCTCACCTCCTCCTCCTCCTCCTCCTCCTCCTCCTCCCCGCGCCCTCTTCCTCCTCCTCCTTCTCCTCCTCGGCGCCGCCCGCCCGCCCGTCGTCCTCAGCACAGCGCCCCGCGGCCGCCCCCCCGCTGCGGCAGGCCGGCGCGGGCGGCGCGCAGCTCCTGGCCGGCAGCTCGCCGCTCCCGGGCGGCGCCGGCGGCCAGCCGGCCCGGACCTGCGGGCGGGCCCTCCCGTCGGGGGGGGGGCCAGGGGGGCGTCGGGGGGGGGGGGCGAAGAGGCGGCGTCCATACCTCAAGCAGTGGCGAAGCGTCTTGGCTCGCCTATAGCCTACCAAACAACATTTCTGGCTGGGACTGTCTTGCTTCAACGCACCGGGTTATGTTCTAAGAACATTGTTCTTGTTCTTTGAACATTTCTGGGTTCTAAAACAATTTCGTGGTAGGACTGCAGGAATGCCGGGACGGTCGGTCCCTGCTCAAATACCGTTGCCCCTCCCTCGTGCTCCCTCTTTCTGGGGGCCTCCTGGGGGGCCCTCGTCGCCACCGCCGGCTTCGCTGCGACACGCTGGGCAGAACGCGCCCTGGGAGAGGTCCGGGCGGGCGGGCCCTGCCCTCGGGGTGTGTGGCTTTCGATGGAGGGGGGCCAAATCGTCGGTGCTGGCGTGAGCCTCGACGAAGATGTAGGGCGAAGCAGCTGTCAAGATCATCTTGAGAATCACCCTTTTCCTTGCCAGGGAAAATTCAGAATCGCTCCAGCTGCCGCCGCTGGAAGAACGCGCGCGCCGCTTGCCGCGCGGCGCCCGACACGGGGAGCAGCTGCGCTGCTCGCCCGGCGCGCGGCGCAGCCGGCCGCCGGTCGCGACAGCCGCCCCGGCAGCCTCCCCGGCGGCCGTGCCGCCTTCCTGCGTCCCGTCGGCAGCCGTGCCCTGGGTCCGCTCCCTCGCGTCGCCGGCAGGAGCGGGATCCCGCGCCTGCCCGCTCGTCGCCGCCAGCGCGCTGGCGGCACGCGCCCGGGGGCGCCCTGGCGCCGCCGCCAGCGAGCTGCGCGCGCGCTCTGGCGGCTGGGGGGCGGCGGGGTGTCGATCGTCCGCATCCGCCCAGCTGCGGTGGCGAGCGGGCCGGTCCGCCAGTCTGTCGTGCTCGCCGAAATCCAGAGTCAGGGCGGCGCTTGGGCCACCAGCGCCTCCATGAGCACCTCTGCCCGGGCGCGCGCCAGCCAGTGGTCTGGCGCCAGCGGGGAGACCGCCAGCTGGGCCCACCCCGCCCACTGCACCTCCGCGGTGAGCGCTTCCGCCGTGGGGCCCGCGTCGGCTGCGGCGGCGCCCCTTGCGCCGCCGCCGCCGCCGCCGTCGCTCTCCGCTGCAGGCGCTCTCGCTGTCCGCGCCCGTGGCCCCCGAGGTGTCCGAGGCCCAGCAGGCGTCGCTGCTGCTCCATGGAGCCGTTGTCGCTGGTGGCCCCGCCGCCGCTGCCGCGCCCTGTGCTGGCTCCCTGGCGGCGCCGGGGGCTGCGGCAGCCGCGGCCGCAGCGTTTTCCTTGCCCGGGTCAGTGTCCGATATTCGCCGCTGCTGCCGCTGCAGCTCCCAGGATCCGCTGCCGGTGGGGCCGCTGGATCGAGCCGTGGCCTCCCCCCGGCCCCGGCCCCCGGGCGAGCGCCAGCTCTGCCGCGGCGCCTTCGAGCGCGGCCCAGAAGCTGTGCGGGAGGGGGAGTGGCCGGCACGGTTCCCGCGGCGGCGCCCAGCGCCGTTGCCTCGCTTCGCCGGCGCCGCTCCTGGGGAGCCGCCCATGGGGTTTCGGCTCGCTGCCGCGCCGCCGCCCCCCTGCCCAGGAAGTGCCGCGAGTGCCGGCGCGGCAGCGAGCCCGGGGCCGGCTCTGGCGGCCGCCAGCAGCCAGGTGGGCCCACGGGCGCAGGCGCCGGCCACGACGGCGCCGCAGGTGCCAGCGCCGCGCGCGGGCCCTGCCGCCTCGGCGGTGGTGCCGTCTCCCGCGGGGGCCCCTGGCCAGCTCCAGCGTAAGGGCCCCGCGTGCCCGGCGTGGGGGCCGGCGCGGGGACCCACCGCGCTGCGGCTGGGAGGCACGGGCAGACTCAGAGGCACCAGGCCCGCGTGGCCCCCTCGAGCAGACACGGCGGGAAAGGTGCAGCCCCGCCGTTCACGCGTCCGCCTCGCGAGGCGCAGGTCCAAGCCATGGCCGGCCGCGGCGCCCGCCGCCGGCCCGAAGCTTCACGCCACGCTGACATTCGACTGGCTTGATCCACGGCTTGAGCCAACATTGCTTGGGCCACGTGTGGCCAGATGTCTTTCCGGCGCGCTGCCCCTCTGTGGCCGATCACTCAGGCCTTCCGCGAGGCCATCCGGCGCGTGGCCTCCGCGTCATCAAGCCATGTGTGTGATTCCACCTTCGTGGTACTTTCAGGAAGGCAAAAAACACACAGACACAATTCATCGTCGATTCGGGAAGTGGTGGGCAAGACAAAAACCGAAAACATATGGGAACACATGGGGAATGTTTTTTATTTGTGTGTATTTATTTGTGTGTCCTGGGGCCCCCTTCGTACTTTCCATCCCATGGCGTAGCGTTTGCACCTGTGGCGAGCCTGCCCGCGCCGGCGTGCGCACCCGGCGGGCCAGCCCGGGTGGAGGGGGGTGCAGAGCGGCCCAGTTGGGTGTCGCAGTGGAAGGGCCTCGCGCAGCCTGGCCCTCCCCGCCTGCGAGAGAAGAGCCGACACCGAAATCCGATATCGCGGTTGGCGACACTCTGTTTCATGTTGGTGTCACCTCCAACTTTCGATACGTCTATATCCAGGCATATATGAGTAAATCTTACTATATACACACACCTATACTTCCGCGCTGCGCTCTTCTTGCCACACTTAGTGCACACTACCTCCACTTACTGACACTTTTCCTCTTTCCCCCTCTCCCCATTTCCCTCGCGTCCCCGCGCGATTGACCCAGTCGATCCCTTATGGGCGGAGCCCTGGCCCCCCGCCGCGTGAGCTGGCCGGGCCGCGCGGTACTTCCCTCTCGACTGTCTACGCTGCACCGCAGCGCGCGTGGCCGCAATGCCAAAAGTGTGTGTGTGTGTGTATGTAAGTGTGTGTAAGTGTGTGTGTGTGTAAGTGTGTGTAAGTGTGTGTGTGTGTGTTTGTGTGTGTGTGTGTAAGTGTGTGTGTGTGTGTGTGTAAGTGTGTGTGTGTGTGTGTTTGTGTGTGTGTGTGTGTGCGTGCGTGCTCTTGTCCTCCCCTGCGCTTGTTCCGCCTTTTCGTTCCCTCCCTAGCGGATGCCTTCCTGCGTAGACGCAACGCCGAGATCCTCGGCGCGCAGTTGGTATCGTCCTTTCTCGTGCGGTTCTCTGGATGGCCACCGTGGAGGCTGCTTCTGGAGTCTGTCCCGTCGAGCCCGGCTCCGTCGTGGCGCGGCTTTTCTTGGACTGCCAGCATATTGCACGTGAGCAGTAGCACTGTTTCCAGTGAGAGCTGCAGTCGCCGCG